ACATCTCCAGGTGGTTTTGTTCCTTTGCTGGAGCAAAGAGTTGGTAAAAACCAACACAAAACTGGAGAAAAAGTGGAATTATTCACGTTTTGGGGGTCCCTTCCAGCTCAGGATCCTCATGATTTTATACCTCAGGTGCTCTTTAAGCTGAAGGCAGCAGTGGGTCCAAGCGGCCAAAAAARTTAAAATTATTAATTAAGGCACCAAAAAGTGTGGCCAGCAGGATCAGGGCAGGATTAAATTCCAACCTCTCCACACCCCCAAAGCTCAGGACGATGACAAAACCCCATTTAGCTCATGAGGTGAGGTCAATACTCACTTTTTCAAAGGTTCTATGACSGTTTTTTGGATCTGATTCACCTGTGGGAAGCAGAAAAAAGGAGGATTTCAYATCAGAATTGTTGGAAAATCCTATTTGGACAGGGAGGGGTTTGCACAGAGCCCATCATGGGGATGGGATGGGATTCTGAGCACAACCATAACATCCTTTAACCAAAAGAAAGGGAATTTCTCCCACGGGYTCAGGGTGAGATTGGAAAAATTCGTGTGGGGGAAGTCTTGGAGATCATAAAAAGGGAGGGAGGTGACACAAGGATTGAAGTGGCAAGGGGAAATGAGAGAGAGAAAAGGGATGGATGGGATTTTTGGGAAGGAATTCCTGGCTGGGAGGGTGGGAAAGAGCTGGGATGGAATTCCCAGAGGAGCATCCAAGACGAGCCTGGAGCACCTGGGGACAACAGGAGGTGACCCTGCCATGCCAGGSGGTGACACTGCCAAATCTCTGAGATCCTTCCCACCCAAACCATTCCAGGACACCCCCAAATCCCCAATTTCCCACCTTCTCCTGGTTGAAGGAGTCCATCCTCTTCATGGCCGTGTCGAAGGCTGTCACCATCTCGAGGAAAGCGGGTTCCTGCTCACACAGAGGGTTGGACAGAAGGTCTGAGGAGATCTTCACTGCAGATTTGGACATGGCTGAACAGAAAAAAAAAAACAGAAAAGGGCACATTCCCCACTGCCAGGGGCAGGTGGGCAAGAATCAGGGAGTTGAGATAGTCAAGAAGGGCTTGGCACGGCTTTCAAGGGAGATGCTGGCTGGTGGATGAGAGAAAAGCAAGGAAAAGCCACCAATTCATTCATGTAAACAGCCAGAGAAGTGTTTTTTAAATAAGTAAAGTCTGAAGCACTCCAGAGTGAGGCTTGTGATGCTGCCAGAAATAATCCCAGGCTAACAAAAGCACCGTTCTCTTAAAAAAAAAAAAAAAAAAAACAAACCCAAGAGATGGGGGTTTTTATACATCTTCTCTCGACAGACTATTAAGTGTCACTCTCAGCCTCACTACAGCTCTTTCCACGAGGAGAAAAATCGCAGTCCATTAAGGCTTTCAAATGGCTTTACAAAAAAAAAAAACACGTGTATTTTGAAGTGGATTTAGTGGGAAAGGACCAGGCTGGCAGACGACGTTTCTCTTTCCCTCTCCAAACACAAAGAGAGGGGACACGAGTTAAGCAATTTCCCCCAATAAARCTGAATTTTGTGTCTGTGGAGAACGAGCCAGAGGGGAATTTAAAGTTCCTTCAGGGCCCTGGAAGTGTCACCACAAAATCCAGAAACACCAGGTCATGCTCTGACTGAGCATTCTGCTTCTTTTCCTCATCCCTATTTATCCAAACTCTTGGTGTGCAAAGGGAAAATTCGATGATAGAACCACTACGAAGGAGCAAGAWATTAGGGAAGGTACAGAATGGAAAAAAAAAGGCTCAATAAAAAGGAAAATCTAAATATAAAAATATAAACAGGGATAAAATAGACTAAAATTAAAAAAAATAAGACAGGGGAACTAAAAAAAATCTTTGCGCTGGAAGTTATTCTACGAAGGAGCAAGAAATTAGGGAAAGTACAGAATGGGGAAAAAAAAGGCTCAATAGAAAGGAAAATCTAAATATAAAAATATAAACAGGGATAAAATAGACTAAAATTAAAAAAAAAAGACAGGGGAACTAAAAAAAATCCTTTTTCCTCGGTGCTGGAAGTTATTCTACGAAGGAGCAAGAAATTAGGGAAGATACAGAATAGAAAAAAAAAGGCTCAATAGAAAGGAAAATCTAAATATAAAAATATAAATAGGGGTAAAATAGACTAAAGTTAAAAAATAAGACAGGGGAACTAAAAAAAAAATCCTTTTTCCTCGGTGCTGGAAGTTATTCTACGAAGGAGCAAGAAATTGGGGAAGGTACAAAATGGAAATAAAGCTTAATAAAAAGGAAAATCTAAATATAAACAGGGGTAAAATAGACTAAATTTTTTTTTTTTTTAAAAAAGGGAACTAAAAAAAAATCTTTTTTCCTCAGTGCTGGAAGTTATTCCAGTCGGAGATCACAAAGCCAGATGCTCGAGCCGTGCTACGGAGGAGCTTCGGAAAGACTCCCTCAGATATTAAAAGTTAAAGTCATCTGAATAATGGGGCTTAAGATCATAAATCAAGGGGTTAAACATCCCGATTTAAAGGTTACACACAATTATAACCAATTCTGAGAGAGCTCAGAAGCTGCAGAACTGCAGAACTTGCAGAACAAGGAGCTCCTCGCTCCGCAATAACAAAGCTCCCGTATCCATCCATTATCCAAACATGAAGGCTTTGGGCATTTAAACCTTTAAACAGATGGGAAATAATCCATATGTGTGACCACATCTGAGGAGGGATTTGTGCCAGAATGGAGTTAAGAATGGCAGAACTCCTTTTCTGGAAGGGAAATTGAGTTTGTGTTCGCAGGAGAGGATTGGGAGGGAATTGGAGGGCAGGAATTGGGGGATTTKGGGTGTGGACAGGGGGAATTTGGGTGAGGAATTTCCTCTGTACTGATCTCACAGGA